CATGTTTAATGTTTATCTGTGGCCCTAATAATTAATTAAGTATGTGTTTTGGTAATTTCTTATGTTTTCTGATTACCTCCAGGAATATGTGATCAGGATATGGTCTTCCCTTTTCACTCTCCTTTTTGCTTAACTCAGAGTAACTTTTTTGGGCCTCAGTTGGGCCTGGGCCTCAGCGGAGGGCCATTTGGGCCTCGGGCAGGTGGGTTGAGCCTAGGGCGGGCAGTTTGGGCCTCTGGGGGCCTGGGCGTCAGTGACCGGGCTGCAGGAGGGTTGGGCCTAGGGCTGGTGGTTTGGGCTTCGGGCGGGCGGTTTGGGTTCAGGGGGCCTGGGTATCAGCAGCTGGGCATCGGGCAGCTTGGGCCTCAGCGGGCAGGTTGGGCGGATTGGGCCTCGGGGGGCCTGTGCCTCGGGGACTGGGCTAAGGGCGGGTTGGGTCTCAGGGGCACTGGGCCTTGGCGACTGAGCTATGTGGCGGGTTGGGCCTCCAGGGCCCTGGGCCTCAGTGGCGACCGGGCTGTGGACTGCCTGGGCTGCGAGGCAGCTAGGTGATTTGGGCCTTGTTTGGGCATGGGCCTTTGTGACCAGTCTGTGGGCGGGTTCGCCCTCAGGGCATGCCTTGGCCTCAGTAGGCAGGCCTGTTCCTTGGGCGTTCCTGAGCCTCGGCGGCTTGGCAGAGGGCTGGTCTTGGCCGGGGCAGTAGAGGGCTGGGGGTAATGGCTGCAGGGAGGTAGTGTCCGTATTTGATGACATAAAAAATGTCTCTCTCAGTCTCTCTGCACCGTGGGTACCCCAAATTTCCTGATATCTGCACCGATATCCCTCTCTGTTTGTTCGGCTTTGTTAGTTTATGCTTCCTTTTCTCTGGAAATGCAGCCTTCTAAGTGGGGTTGCTCTAGCCCTGCATTCCAAGGTTTTCAGGGGGCAGAGGCACTCGCCGGTGCAGAACCGGGAGCCACGTGCAGGCAGGCAAAAGCTCAAAATGCCTGTAATTCCTTAGCAATTTGATCTTTTTAAAAAACAAGTTCAGAATGTTGGAATATAAGATCTTATGTTTGTTCAAATGCTGTCTGTCTGCTAGACAGAGGTTTCTTATGTGCGATTCCGCTCCTTTTCCCCAAGACTGCCCTACCTGAGCTGCCTGGTCAGGGAAGTGCCAGAAGTCCTCCCTTACATTTATTCTTAAAATACAAGGAGGTCTCAAAAACTTCATGGAAAAATTCCATTATCTTTGAATTCCATTAACTTTTTGAAGGCCCCTCATACAATCCAACTTCCCTTTGTACAATCCACTTTGGATTATAGGTCTTTACTTGGTCTTCAGAGTCACTGGGTGATACAAACAATTAACATGCTAACTGAAAGGTTGAAGGTTCCAGTCTACCTGGAGACACATCAGAAGTAAAGGCAGGCACCTATTACTGAATAATCAGTCACTTAAAATCCTATAAAGCACCATTCAACTCTCACTTGGGCATACAGGGTTGCTATGGGTCAGAAGGATAACGTGTTTGGTAGAGTGGAGGGTTGGAGAAAAATGGGGAGACTCTGAATGAGATGGATTGGCACAGTGGCAGCAGCAATGGGCTCAAGTGTAGCAATGATTGTGAGGTTGACACTGGGCCAGCCAGTGTTTTGTTCCATTGTATATAAGGTCACTATGAGTTGGTACCAACTAGACAGCACCTAACGACAGCAATGAGTCAGAGTTAATTTGACAATAACTGTTTCATTTTAACTTGGTCTTGGTCCCTGAACACTTCTTCAGACTCATCACTTACCATGTTCTCCTTCACTCACATCACTCCAACACTACTTGTCTACTTTCTGTTCTTCAGACAACCCAGCCCCTCTTGTTGCAGAGCCTTTGCTTCTGCTGCACCCTCAGTCTGGAAAAATCTTATCCATTCCATTATTCAGTTCCTGTTTCCTAACTCTTAAGCATCACCATTCTTAGGGAGTTTTCCCTGACTCATTGCCTTCTCAGCAGCTCCTTATCTGTTTGACCTCATAGTTTCCTTTCCTTCATTGCCTTCATCTCCTTGTTAATTACATATTTCATTGGTGGGTTGTCTGATTAACATCTGGGTGTCTTCCCACTTTAGATCTCCTACTCCATATGTGTAGCAGTGAGGTCTTTTCCTCATCATCTCTTCCCTGCACTAGCACTGGACATGACCTTGTTTGACCTTGGCATACTCACTAAAGGACAGCCTGAAGAAAGAAATGCCCCACCACTTCTACTTAGCACTGGTGTGGTGCTGTAGGATCAGGACTAGACAAAAGTCAGCAATTCAAACTTGGAGACCCTATACAGAGCTGCTATGACTTGTAGCCAACTTGACATAACTCAACAACAACCTCCTCTCAAGTTCAGACTCTCAGCAACCTTGTGGGGTTGCAGCAGCCTCCTAACAGGTCACTTTACCTCCTGTTTCATACCTTTTCATGACTGATCACATGTACCACAAATACAGCCTAGTCACTCAACCTTGCAACCATGCAAGGGGTCTTCAGCAGTAACATGGTCAAGTCCACACATACACACCCCACTATCCCCACCCACCTTGCTCCTGTTTAACTCTGTGACCTCATTTCCCACCACCACTCACTTCATACTTATGTTCTAACAACACCTGTTTTGAATCCACCGTGAAGCACAATGCTTGCTACTTCCACACTTTGCCTAATACTGTTCTTCTAGGCAGAAGAACTTAATTTGTTAAGTGACGTCGAGTCGCTTCTGACTCAAGGCAACCCTGTGTGGGGTTTCTGAGGAGTGGCTGGTGAGATTTGAGCCTCTGGTCTTGTGATTAAAACTGACCTAGCAGTCCAGTGCATTATCCTCCAGCACCACATCAGGACTCTGTTCTTCTGTCTAGTGACATTCATTACTTGTAAAAACTGTACTTATCCTTCACAATTCAGCTGAGAAATGGTTTCCCCTTCTATGTCTCATCAAACCATGCATTTCCGACCTTCCCTTCCAGGATCAATGTACAATGAAAGCATCACAGTAGTCGACCACTCTGCTTAGAAACAGTCCAGTGCCTCATCTAGGATAGATGTTGGGCTTAGTGCTAGGGATTCAACTATGAATAACATGAGGAAGGTGCCTGCTTTCAAAGAGATACCAGCTATCTCTCAGAAGCTCTAAGAGAAGAAAAGTCATAAAATCCAACACAATTTTCTTAATTACAGAGTTCTTAACAAGGAAGATCAAAATGGAATACAATCTATGAACAGAGTCCTGGGGTGGCACTGTAGGGATAAGCACTGGACTGCTAACTACAAGTTCAGCAGTTCAAACCCAACAGCCCATTCTTGGGAACCTTTTAAAGGGTCGCTATAAGTTGGAACCAACTCTCTCGGTGGCACTTAACAACAAGAACACAACAACCCAAGAGACTTTACAGTCAAATAAAAACTTAAAGCAGAGAGCACCTAGAGGGTTGGGGAAGAAGGACTGTGGCCTGAAACAATATTGCAGGTGTGGAGGGCATCCCTACAGAATAAATGGCGCCAAGCTTCTCCAGCCTAGGAACAGAGAATCACCCATACTGAATGCATCACCATTAAGAAATAGCTGAGCATTCCCCTGTACTGTGAAGTTTTACAGAATCAAATAAATACATTAGGGTCCAAGTCAAAGAAATATCAAATCTTCAATTCCCTCCATTTAGATAGTTGTTGAGTGCTGTCAAGACATTTCCAACTTACAGCAACCCTGTAGTGTAACACTGTAAGATCAGCACTGTACTGTGAACCACAAGATCAGCAGTTCAAACCCACCAGTTGCTCCTCAGAAATGCTATACAAGGAAACACTGAGTCAGAACCAACTCAACTACACTTAACAACAAGGACCAAGTGTCATCTTTACAGAGGTACATCACCAGGTCTTTCTCCCATGGTGGGGCTGGTGGATTTGATCTCAAATTTCAGTTAGTATCCAATTACTTTCTACTGAAGAAAGCTTAAGAGGTGGCCTACCAGGAACTCCTTTGCAGTCTGTTTAGAGGGAAAACAGCTTGCGGAGTCCTGGTGTGGTGCTGTGGGTTAGTGTACTGGACTGCAAAGTCAGTTTGAACTGCAAGGTCAGTCGTTCAAGCTCACCAGCTGCTCCTTGGAAACTATACAGTCGGAACCGACTTGACAGCACTTAACAACAGCACAGCAGGCATTGAAAGACCTGAGTTCTGGTCCTGCTTTTGTTATTTACCAGCTTTGCCAGATTAAATAAGTTACTACCCTTCTTGGCCTCTGTATAATTAGTGGTTTGGCCTGAATTATTTTTAGGATTTCTTTGAGCCCCTAACATTCTATTTACAAGTCGCCAAGTCATATGTTCAATAAAACTGTCCACTCCTGGTTTAGAACAGAAACTTCAGGAGCATTCGGTTATCATGAAGCCACACCCACTGACCTTAAACTCTGCAGTGACTCTGAGTGGAATGGCCCAGGGAATGTTCACTAAAGTAACAGCTAAACAAATTAAAAGCAACATTCATAATATCTCCCATTCTCTGAATATCTGTGTTTTGTCAGGCACTGTAACAGTTATGCTACATAGATGGCCTTACTTCATTTTCACAAATGAAACAAGAGTATTGAATATTCTATCATTTCAGATGAGAAAGCTCAACTGCTCACACCCTTTTGCTTCATTCTTTCTGATCTCTGATTTTAATGACAGTTCTGAAAGCCTGCTTACCTTCAGGGAAACCAAAATGGAGAACCATGTCTGCCCAAAGCCAGCAAGCTAGCACAAAGCTGAGAGGGAGTCACAGTGACAGGGAATGGGCATACTTACTGATGTCCACATTAATGCTGTTTAAAACCCTATGCACTTTCCCCGCGTGAGTCAGTCTTGCTTCACAGGCGTATTTCCCTCCGTCCTCTAATGAGACATTATTCACCAAAAGCTTAATTCCCCTGGAATAAAACCGCTCGTCTTTAATCTCTTTGCAGTCCTAAATACAAAAATAAATAATTCTATGAATATTTTGGACTCCTAGTTTGGTGCTGTAGGATAAACACTGGACTGCTTACCACAAGATCAGCGGTTCAAACCCACCAGCTACTCCTCAGAAACCCTATACAGGGTGGCTCTGAGTTGGAATTAACTCAACGGCATTTAACAACAACAACATAAGTGTTTTAGGGTGTCGGTAACATTCTTGGTTAGTTAGAAAAACATGTGAAAATGTACAGGAAAGCAATGTGGTCCACAAAGAATTTGCCTGGAAGACAAGAATATATCCAGAAGATGTGACAAAGAGTAGCTAGAATGAATGATATAATTATTTCATTCTCACTTAGCATCTTTCTGTGAACTGTGAGGAGATACAAGAAAACCATGTGCTTCCTAGCCTTAACATTCTGCTTGGACGGTATTTGTCCAGTGGATTTGACAAAGAACAGCTAAAATGACTGATATAAGTATTAAGTCTAATAGGAATGAAGAGGAGAGAGGCATATGTAGGCTAGAATACTAAAACCTGATGTGATGATGAGAAGGGAACTGGACTGGGCCATGAAGGATTTTGGTAAGAAGATATACACAGGCAGGGATGCCATTCACCTACCCAGGAGACCACAATCTAATGGCACTAAACCCCTATACTAAGACTACCAGTCCAGGTGAATCCTGATCACTTCCTCTAGGTTACAGGACTAACGGCACCTTGTCCACCTATTGGGGATTGAGATTGTCAGAGGTCCAAAATAGTTTTTCAACAATATTTTATCTGGAGGACATATTATTAGGGGAGACCAGTCCCTGAAGAAAGATATCATGCTTGGTAAAGTGAAGGGTCAGTGAAAAAGAGGAAGACCCCCAATGAGATGAATTGACACAGTGGCAGCAGTGATGGAAAGTACAGGATTGGGCAGTGTTTTGTTCTGTTGTGCTTAGTGTCGCTATGAGTTGGAACCAACTTGACAGCACCTAACAACAACCAGAAATAGTCAGGGAGCTCTAGTAGTGTAGTGGGTTATGAGTTGGGCTGCTAACCTCAAGGTCAGCAATTCGAATCTACCAGCCTCTCAGCAGCAGAAAAATGAGGCTCTTTGCTCCTGTAAAGATTTTGTTGTTGTTGTTGTTGTTAAGTGCCATCGAGTTGGCACCCACTCATAGCAACCTTATGCACAGCAGAATGAAACAATGCCTGATCCTGGGCCAGCCTCACTACTGTTGCCACGCTTGAGTCCATCAATGCCTTGGATATCCTATACAGGATTGCTATTCCACAGAACCAATTCCACAGCACATAACTACCACTGCCAAGAAATAGAGAATGCTGGTCAAGTTTATGGGGAGTAAATGCCACGGACTCTTGGGTCATGTATGACTTCACTGTGTCAACAAGGAAGAAACCTCACACCAAACCAACCTGAGCACTGGTTCATCCCGGGAATGCCTTTCTCAACTGTACTTCTCAACAACCAGCCCGAAATCAAACCCAGCCATTTGCCACTTCTGACCTCTTTCTCAAACCTTTTCCTCCTCCCATGAAGAAGCCCCATTCTACAGAGTGACTGCTTGGCTAATTGTTGTTGTTGTCAGGTGCCAT